GGGGGGGGAAAGGGAAGGAGCCGGGTGGGGTAGAGAGGGGCGGGGCTAGGGGAGGGGAGCCCTGGGGGATGGAGGGGGTGGGACTAAGGGGGTGCTGGGGGAGGGGAGACCTGGGGGATGGAGGGGGCGGGACTAAAGGAATGCTGGGGGAGGGGAGCCCTGGGGTTGGAGGGAGCGGGACTAAGGGGGTGCTGGGGGAGGGGTGCCCTGGGGGATGGGGGGCGGGACTAAGGGGGTGTTAGGGGAGGGGCCATGGGGAGGGGCGGGGCTAGGGGAGAGGAGAGAACGTCCTGGGCAGGTGGGGGCACCTACTTCAGAGAGACTGAAGCCCACCTGGGGTTGGAAGGGGGCGGGGAAAGGAGGGGATGGAGTTCACAAAGTGGGTTCAAATTCTACCTGGGCTTCTGGGACAGGATTTGTAAGGTCTCTGGTCCCATTTCCTCATCTGTAAAGTCAGGGTGACTGGGCTGGCTGAGCTCTTAGGTCCCTATCTGCTTGAACTCTGCTGGGGAAGGGGTGTAGACATTTAGGGGGAACCTGAAGGGGGCACAAGAGTGGGATTTTTCGAGGACCAGAGGGCTGACGTGGGTGGCCATTCTTTCTCCGCAGGCCCTCCTTGCCTGAGTGGATGACACGGTGGCCCCCTGTCACAGGCCTTCCCATCCTCGTGGGCAGTGGACATGGAACCTCCTGCCCCCCAGGCATCCCCCTCCCCAGAACCAGGCCCCTCATCCACCCCCGAGGCTGCCGGACAGCCATCCCGGCTTGGCCGGTACCTCCTCATTGACACGCAGGGCGTCCCCTACACAGTGCTAGTGGAAGAGGAAGCTGCGGCCTCCACAGGGGAGGTATCTGCAGGGTCCACCTCCCGAAAATGCTACAGCTGCCCTGTGTGCTCCAGGGTCTTTGAATACTTGTCCTATCTGCAGAGGCACAGCGTCTCGCACTCAGAGCTCAAGCCCTTCGTCTGCGCTGTCTGTGGCAAAGCCTTCAAGCGGGCCAGCCACCTGGCCCGCCACCGATCCACACACCGGGTGGGGGGCGGCCGGCCACACGCGTGTCCCCTGTGTCCCCGACGATTCCGAGACGCAGGGGAGCTGGCCCAGCACAGCCGAGTACACTCGGGCGAGCGGCCCTTCCAGTGCCCTCACTGCCCTCGGCGATTCAGTGAGAGAAATACCTTGCAGAGACACACTCGGAGGAAGCACCCGTGACAGGGCTGGGGAAGGCCCCGGTGCCCCAGACGCTGCCCACCGGCTTCGGGGACGTGGGGTGGGACCTGTGGACAAACACGGACTGGATCTGCAGGCAGCCCTTGGCTGGTCACGGCTCTGTGCGTCAGCTTCCTCCTCTCTGAAGAGAGAGGGTCAGACTAAGATGACCTCTAATGTCCCTTCCAGCTCAGGGGCGAGGGGCTGGCCAGCCCTTGCTGCCCCGGAGGGAGCACTTGGTGCGGTTGGAACTCGACTTGGCCGCCTGCAGAACGAGTTTAGTGGAGTATGAGCCGTCGGTCTTCTCATGGCCATCTCTTGGAGTGTCTTACAAGCTGGGGGATCCTCAGTTCCACCCCCACCCCCACCCCCACCTAGGGAAGCACAGGGCTGCCAGGTCCCAGAGCAGTAGCTGGGGATCCCCTAGAGCTGGTTCTGGGGTGGAGATGGGAAAGTCTCCTCTGTCTTGTAGGCGGACCCCCCCCCCTCCAAGGGCTGCAAACCAATGATCGGAATAAATGCAAAGTGAGTTTTCAGTGAGGAGCCTCAAGATTGGTGTTTGAGAAAAGCGTATTGTTCCCAGATATTGCTGGCTGGTCCTCTGGCCCTTCTGCCTAGGAAGGGTGGAGCTCCCTCGGCACTCGCGGCGCCGGTGTGGAGGCCCTCCTGGCTCTGCTCTTTGGGAACCCTGTGACCATCGGAAGCGGTTCCCCCTTCCGTGGCCGGGACCGAAGGGCTTCCAGGGGGTAGGACTGCTGGAGCAGAATAGCGGGGGCTTGGCGCTGGCTCTGAGGTTCCAGCCTGGCGTGTGGGTAACACTGCATCTGCGCCGGGAGTTGGGGGTCTGGACTGAAGCTGCCCAGCGGTGGGGTGGGGCCTTGTGGTACCGTGGGGAAGGGCTGGATTGGGAGTCGGAACCTGGGTTCAAAACATAGTCACGTCTCCCTCTTTTGGAATAAAAGAACACACGAACACGCATTTATTAAGCGCTGCCGACGCTCTGCTAAGCTCGGGGGATACAGACAGCGCAGCAGGGAGGGGCTGGGGGGCCCACAGACAATCTCTTTCCGGGAATGGTCGCCGCGCTGCTTTGGGCACGGGTCCAGAGCTGCTGGGGGTGTGCAGGGAGGGCTGGTCACCGAGGGGCTCCTGGGACCGATGTGGGCGAGGAGCCGGCCTCCGCGGGAGAGAGCGATCTCCCCTCTGGAGGGGCTTTGGGTCAGGTTGGACCAGAGCGGCTCCGCTCAGCGAGAGACACGGTGGGGCAGTGCGAGGTACTGCCTCTGGAGTTGTGGGTTCGAATGTCGCCTGGGAGGCGAGCGTGCGCCCCAGTGACCTTGACGGAAGTCCCTTCCCCTTTCCAGGCCTCAGTTTCCTCCCCTGTTAAAAGCGGGAGATGGACTACGTGAAGATAGTAGGTTGGGCAGCATCTACCAAAACCCCAGACTCTATTTGGAGAAAAGGGGCGGAGGGGAGAGGAGAGATCCCTCTACGTTTCATAAAGTCCCAGAATTCTCCCGCGGGTCCTCTCCCCAGCCCTTTCCCGAGGTCACAGCTTCAGGAATTTGACGAGGGTCCCTGCCCCCGCCCCCCAAGGGTCGCCGCCGCCGCTGCCGCCGCTGCTGCGAAGGGGAGGGGGTGGCGCTTTGGAGAGGAGGCCGCCAGGGCCCGTCACGCAAGTGCACAACTCGCTCCGTGGCGCAAGTCCCCCCCCCCCCCCCCCCCCACCGTGCCTCCTGTGTCGGCCCGCCCCCCAGGTCCGAAGCAGGGCTCTAGCCTCTGGGCACGCCTGGCTGGCTCCGCCCGGTGCGGGGGCGTGCTCACGCCCCGCTCGCGCGCGGCGGGGAGAGCGGCGTGGCGTGGGATGGGTGCGGGGAGCTTGCCTCCGCCCCCCGCGCCGGCGGCACTTTGCAGACGCTCCCCGGAGCTGGGCATGGGCGCCGCCGCTGCTCCCTGGGCTGGAGTCCGCGCCGCGCGGGTGGGTGAGCGCGGGACCGTGGGCGGGGGGGGGGGGGTGAGGGTCTGAGGACGAGAGGAGAACTGTCGGAGCTCGGGCCCGGCCCTGGGCCCCGCCGCGTCCCCGATCCCCAACCCCGCTGCGAGCCCCGGGAGGGGGGGGGCGCCCGTGGGACAAAAGGCGGGGGCGCCCCACGCGGGACGCGCCCCTTCCCCTCCCCCGCCAGGGCGCATGCTCCGGCGGCTTTTGCCCCACCCCCACCCCCGTCGGGCCATGGGGGGGGGGCGGAGGTCCACGCGTGTGCGGGGAGGGTTACGTGGGGAGCCTGGGCTGCGGGGGAGGAGGGATGCCCGGGCTGGCGTGGGGGCTGCATCGGTCCCCCCTTGTCCCAAGTACCCCACGCCAGGCAAGGCCGCTCGCCGTGCCCCCCTCCAGCGGCTCCGGGGCCCTGAGTCCCCGCCCCTCCCCTCCCCCCAGCCCCACCTCCGCAGCTCACCTGTGGCTGGTCTTTCATCCAGTGCCCCTGAGGCGCCGGGACGCCTGGGTCCGGCCGAGGCTGCGTCATGAATGAGAGAAACAGCCGGAGGCGGACAAGTGAGCAGCCCTTCCCCCCCTCCGGGACCCGACAGCACCAGCGCTGACAGGAGGCTGGGGGGAGGGGGCTGCCAGCCGTCAATCTGTCATTTTCGCGTGGTGGGCGGGGGGGGAGGAACCTGGGCCCCAAGGTGGGGGAGGGGGGAGAGGGTGTCCTGGGACCTCTGGAGTGAGGAAGCTGTCTTTCCCCCTGTCCTACCTCCCCTTCCCTTCCAGTGAAGAAGGATGAAGAGGGCTTTGAGATCTCAATCCCATTCAACGAGACCCCTCCTCTAGAGTCACCCCAGATCTTCTACGGCCTGAGTCCGCCCCAGGGCAGCTTTGAGGGTGAGCTTGACGGCTGGGGGAGGAGATCTGGGGGGGCCGCCTAGATGTCCTCGCCCTCCTAGCTCTCACTCTCCTCGGGCCCTTTCCCTCAGAGCCCCCGGAGCCCACGTCCCCCACCCTGGCGCTGATGCACAGCGTGAAAACTCAGCTGCACATGGCCCTGGAGAGAAACTCCTGGCTCCAGAAGAGAATCGAGGACCTGGAGGAGGAGAGGGATTTCCTGCGCTGTCAGCTGGACAAGTTCATCTCCTGTGCCCGCATCGACGCAGGTAGTAGCCAGGCTTGGGGAGCTGGAGGGAAGGAGGCCAGAGGCCACGCTGCGCCCTTGAAGGCGCGGGCACCCAGCCCCTCCGTCCTCCTGCTTCTGTCTCCTTGTTCCCTTTCCCATCTCCAGAGGACCACTGTCGGGGGAAGCCTGGCCCCAGGCGGGCAGAGGGCGCGGACGGCCGGGGCGGAGGGGAGGCCTCAGACCCGGAGTCGGCGGCCTCATCCCTCAGCGGTGGCTCTGAGGAGGGGGGTTCCGCCGAGAGAAAGCGCCAGAAGCAGAAGGGGGCGGCTGGCCGGAGGAGATTTGGGAAGCCCAAGGCCCGGGAGAGGCAGAGGGGTGAGTGGCAAGGGACCTAGGGGGAGTAGCTGGGGATATGGACAGAGGAAGCATGACGGGGTGGGGGAGCAGAGGAACGGGTTGTCTGCTGGATGCATGTGTCTGTCCTCTCCGAGATCCCTAGCCTCTGGCTGTCCGGCCCCCTGTCTTTTCTGACCCCTAGGCACTGGGAAGAGTGCTGGGCCTAGAGTTGGGAAGACCTGAGTTCAAATCCAGCCCCAGAAGTTTGTGACCTTGGGCAAGTCACTTTAACTTCTGCTTGCCTCAGTTTCCTCAATTGTAAAATGGGAATAATAATAATAGCTTAAATAAGATACTATTTGTAAAGCACTTAGCACAGTGCCTGACATATAGTAAGTGCTTAATAAGTGCTTATTCCCTTCACCCCCAGGGGGCAGGAGCCGGCTCCTAGATAAGCAGCCTGCCCCTAGAATTGTCAGGAATCCCAGCATAAGGCAGTCTATGCCCTCCTCCCCGCTAGCAAGGATGCCCCCACCAGCAGCCAGGACTGCATTGGCAAGGGGCCTGCCAACCCTGTGGGCTTGCCCTGAACTTCCTCATTCCCCCCCTGCCACCAGACTCAGTGCTTACCACGAGCCCTAGAGGCCCCCGATGAATCGGAAAGGTCCATGTTTGGGGTCAGGATGCCTGGGTTCAGTCCTGGCACTGTCCCTGACTGAGAGGTGGCCTCAAGGGTAGACTCAGAGCCTAGATACCGGGGCTCACATCCCCCCTCGGGTCCTCAGGAGCTGTAGGATCAGCTGTCCTCTGTAAAATGGGGACAAGAGTCCCTCCCTCCCCAGGGCAGCAGAAGCAGGATGGGAGGGCCACGCTGCCGCGCTCCCCTCCCCCGGCCCGCCTAGGGAGAGAGGAGCAGGCGAGCAGCTGTTCCCCCCACATTGAAGGCCAGGCAGCAGACCCCTGGGGGGGTCACCAAGTGAGGGGTGGGCGGCTGGGCTCCACCCCCGCATCTCTGGGGCTCTCACTGACTCTGCCTTTCCCTGGCCCACAGTGAAGGACGCTGATGGGGTGCTGTGCCGTTACAAGAAGATCTTGGGCACCTTTCAGAAGCTGAAGAGCATGTCCAGGGCCTTTGAGCACCACCGGGTGGACCGCAACACAGTGGCCTTGACCACGCCGATCGCGGAGCTGCTCATTGTGGCGCCCGAGAAGCTGGCCGAGGTGGGTGAGTTTGACCCGTCCAAGGAGCGGCTGCTGGAATACTCCCGCCGCTGTTTCTTGGCGCTGGACGACGAGACGCTGAAGAAGGTGCAGGCTCTCAAGAAAAGCAAGTTGCTGCTGCCCATCACATACCGCTTCAAGCGGTGATCCCGAGTCCTGCCCCCAGGTTCTGCCCGAGCCAGCTGCCACCCATCACCTGCCTTCTCTCCCTCCACCCTGCATCAGCCTTGTGGTTCTTAGGCCTGGATGCCCAAGCCAGCCAGGCCCATCACCTCCCCCTTCATGGAATGGACCCACTGCCATTTCTTTTTCATGGTCCATCACACTTCCGCCTGCATCCCCCCAGACCAGCTGTTGGCCTTCCCGTGGTGAGCCGCCAGCTGCCTTCTCTTCCCGTGCTGGCCGCTTCCAGTGGCCCCTCGTACGTCCCACAGCGTGACTGCTCTGCATCTTCTGGAAGCAGGCTCTTCAAGCGACAATCCTGTTTGCTGTGCTCGAGGTGGCCTCCCGAGGGAGTGGTTGGCTTGTATCCCATGCTGCCCTTTCTTACCAGGAGACCTCAGAGCCAACCAATGCGTCATTTACCATTGCACCTTGCCCTCGAGGAGCCCCACAGTGCTCAGATTTTGGGTGGGATCCTGCCCTTCCCTTCTCTCTCCCTCCAGCACCACCCCTGCAGCAGGTGAGGGTGCTCAGGTGCACGTGCACGTGAGTGCTGTGTTTACATGGGGTTCCAGGTGGAGGAGGGTGAGGCTTCCTGTCTCATCCCTCGCTAGCCTGTCGTGGAGCCTGTGTGGAGACAGGGAGGCAGTGTGTATGTATGTATGTATATATTTACTGAACACCCCCCCCACCCCCCTCTTAGCCTTCCATGGTATGGGCCTCTGTTTCCCACCTTCGTTGCCCTGGCCTGGGTTCCTCAATTCCAGTTCAGATCTCCTTGCCCCAAACCTAGAGACTAGGGAGTGTCCGCAGGGATTTTCCAAGTGGCCAGGCACCGTTGCATTTGGAGTGAGGTCAAGGGAGCCGTTGAAAGAACCGGCTTCTCATCCCCACTCTGGGTATGACTCACTTCCCTTCCTTTCTCTAGGCCTGTTTCCTTCTTTGTAAAATAAGGGAGTTAAACGCGATCATTTCTAAGGTGGCTGTGAGACCTTGGATAGGTCCTTTCCAGCCTAGGTCTCTTGAATTGTAAAAATGGAGCAGACTGGACTAGGTGCTCTCATTAGGTCACTGTGTGACCTCGAGCGAGTTAGTAATGATGGGGCTTGGACGCCTGGGTGAGAACGCCGTGATTCTCCTCCCTGACCACTGAATGAGCCTGCTGCGGGGGTCTGCGGCCCTCCCCTCCCCCCTCCCCCCAGCAGTCTTCCTAGGAGAGGGAGGGTGGGCGACAGAGCCAGGGAGCGCCCCCTCCCTTGAGCACTAGCCCGCCGGCCCGGGACCAACTGATAAATGAAGTGTTCAGAGTTTAAATTAAAAGTTAACCAGCAGATTTGGAATAACCTTGGCCTTGGTTCTGGCTGTGGGGGAGAGGGAGTGGGACTGGGTAGGGGGCGGCGGATGGAACGACCCGAGCTCCCTCCACGTCCCTACTCCGGGGAGCCTTTGCTCATCCCAAGGCTACAGCGCATGCGCGACTCTGGTCGGTCGTTTCTAAGGCGACGGCAAAGGCGGTAACAGTTTTTACTGGTCCCGGACCAGTCGGCTTAGAGGGATAAGGTGCGCGTGCGTACTGGCGAGTGAGGGCGGGGACGAGGGAGGAGTAGCCTTCGCTCTCTCTCCCCATTGGTTTGCCCCATTTTGCGCTTGCGCGGAAGGCCCGGCTCCCCGTCCACCGGCCCTGACGCAGGCGTAGCTTAGGTCCGGCTCGACCTCGCGGGACGGCCCGCACAGGCGCACAAAGGCCCCGCCCCCGGCCAGGCTCCACGGCGGCGCGGCGTTCCGCGGCCTACCAGTCGGCGCCCGCGGCTCCTCTCACGAGCCGCGCCCCAAGCCGGAAGAAGTCGAAACGCAAGGAGCCGGGAGGCGGGAGTCGGAGGTACGCCTCCGGAAAGAGCCGAAGCCAGGCCCGAGTGCCTCCGGAAAGAGCCGAAAGCCGGAAGGGGCTCGCGCTGTCGCCGGGGCCAGAAGGGGAACACGACGCGCCCGTCCGGGTTCGACCTCCGGGGCAAACTCGAGGCTCCTCCGGCAGGGCCTGTAAGCCTCGCGGGCCGGGACAAGAGGGGGAGCCTCCCGGCCAGAGCCCAGGAGCCGCCGAGGAAGAGGCCCCGCGGTCAGTTCGACAGGGCGAAGCAGGGCGGGGGCCGGAAACGGCCGAAGCGTTCCGGAAAAAGCCGAAGGGACTCGGGCCCCTCCTCGAGCGAGTAGGAGGCGGGGCCGGGGGCGGAGCTTACGTGGGGGGCCGGAAGCGGGCGAGGCAGGCGCCGGAAGTGGGCGAGGCGGCGCCGAGGGCAGGCGAGGCAGGCCAGGCCGGGCCAGGCGGGGGGGACGGGACGGGGGAGAAGGCGCGAGCGCGGGCCGCGGCCGGCCGCCCCTCAGCATGTCCGACTTCGACGAGTTCGAGCGGCAGCTCAACGAGAACAAGCAGGGTGAGTCCCGGCCTCGGCGGCCCTACCGGCCCCCGTCACTCCCTCCTTACTTCCCTCCGTGTCCCTTCTCCTCCCAGCCCGCGCGGCTACCTCCCCCTCCCCCTCCCGGTCCGGCGCCCCACGTGACCCGCGCGCGCCTTCCGCTGCGCCATGTGACCGCGCGTTGCACGTGACCGGCGCGCGCACCCGCTTCGGGCCCTCACGGCTCCGGGGGCCTTGGCCGAGACCTGGGGCTTCGGACGGTACCCGGACCGGCCCGGAACCACCCCCCCCCCACACACACCCCCTTATCTCCCCTTCTCGCTGCCTGCTCGTTCCCTGCTGCCCACTTCCGCTTCCGGTGGCGGCCCGTTCCTTCTCCACGCCCCCTTTGTTCCCAAAATGGCCGCGGCGGGGGCTTCCCCCCCACGTGGAGGGGCTGTTAGTGGGCTGTGCCCGGGCCGACCCCCGTCTCCCCCGCCGGCCCGCGGCCTTTGCTCCGGACCGTTCTCCCTTCCGCTCCAGGGGCAAGGGGCGCTTGGAGACCCCTTGGGGTTTCCGGCTGGGCGAAGG